GATGCCGCACACTGGCGATGCAGCGCAGCAGGAGCAGGGCCTGGGGACCCCCCAGCCCTGCGTGTGGGTCAGGCCCCTCCAACCTCCATGTGTGGCTCTGTTTCCTCAGCAGGCTTGTCAGGGGGGCTGGGGCGAAGCAGCGTCTCCTCGGGAACCAGCGAAATAAAGAGGGAAGAGAAGGAGGACGAAGAGAACACGTCGGTGGCAGATAACTCAGAAGAGGAGAAGAAGGAGCTGAAACCCTCCCGGAACAGAACAAGGTGCTCTTTGAACAGGTCTCTCCCTTCACTTACTCTGTTACCAGGCTGGGGACGTTTGGGGTGGGCTACGGCCGCAGTGACCCAGCAGGCGCTGGGCTCAGCCCGGTGAGGCCGGGGGTCATCCTGCGGCACAGACCCACCAAGCCCCTGCCCACCGCAGGAGCCTTGTGTGTCCTCGCACAGAGGCGGCACAGCCTGGGCTCCTGCGGCTTCCCCGCAGCCAGCCCTGCTGGAGAAGGGTCCCTGCCACCCTCCCCTGCTGGCTCCCACCCCCGTGGCCAGAGGGCTTCCTCGTGCTCATAAAGCCGAGAGCTCACGCCTTGTCCACACGAGCTGCGCTTTGCTTGTGGCCATGTGTGGAAAGGACCGAGCGCTCAGCTCCCCTTGGCCAGGGGCGGGGAAGGTTTTGACCTCCTCCCTGCTTTGGGCCGTCTCCGCTGTCTGCTTCGGGCTCCTGTATCCTCTGTCACATCCAGCCAGACATGTGGCAGCGGATCAGGTAGAGTCCTTTCAGCCTGCTGGCTTGTCTGCAACCTCACCGTCAGCTCAGAGACCTCGCCAGGGTGATGCTGCCCGGAGGGGCAGCGCCAGCCCCGCTCCTGCCAGACTGCAGCCACCTCCTGCCCTGGAGGCAGAGGGCTGCATCCTCCCAAAATGCAAGCTTGGGACACCAGTGTTGGCCCCCACGCCTTCTCTGGGCCACCCTGCAACCTCCCAGCAACAAGCTCAGGCCTTAATCGCATTGTTGTGGTTTCTTTCTTTGTTGTTTAAAAACCAATCCAATCAAAGGCAGAAGAAGAGCCTTAATTGCTTCTCTCCAAAGTCACTGTGTGTCCCTGTGTCTGAGCGCGGGGCACCGGCCCGGCACGGCCCGGCGGGGCACACGGGGCACAGCGCCCCGGCTCACGGGGCCACGTGCGGGGCTTGGCGTCTCGGTGCCTCGACGTGTGTTTCTTTTCTGTGAGTTGACCAGTGCTGAGAGTGCACGCGAGGAATGTCCCTGTCTCGTTCTTATTTTAAACCATTAGTCAAGATGAGGATGAGGAGGACGATCTTCTTCCCCCAGAGCAAAAAGCCGAGAGAGAGAGAGAAAGGAGGGTCGCCAATAATGCCCGTGAGCGCCTGCGGGTCCGTGACATCAACGAGGCCTTTAAAGAGCTCGGACGCATGTGCCAACTCCACCTAAACAGCGAAAAACCGCAGACCAAACTGCTAATCCTACACCAGGCCGTATCAGTCATACTGAACCTGGAGCAACAAGTTAGAGGTCAGTGAGGGTCCCGGAGTGGTGATATTTTACGTATCTGATCGGCACGGGGCTGTCTGTCTGTCTGTCTCCTGTGACATGTGCTGTGGTGCCTCGCACTGTCTCTCTCCCCTGTGGCCTTGGGTTCCCAAGGCTGTCGATGTCTTTTTTTTGGTCTTTTTTTTGGTCTTTTTTTTTCCCCCCGTTTTTTTTGCATCCCTGCTGTTCTCTTTTGTTCCCCACTGTCACTGCATGTGCTGCATGCCGGTCCCCGAGGGGGCACCTGCGCCGTCCTCGCTTTCCCGCAGCCAGGTGTTTTGCTCAGCTGCTTGCCCAGCAAAATGAAAAATAAAAGGAAAAAAACCCAAACCAAACCCAAAAGAACAGCGAATCTCCCAGAGGCGGCCCAGATCTGACATCTCTCCAAGGGCTGCTCCGAGCACACAGCCCGTCTCTGCCCGCGGCCGCAGCAGCAGCGAGCGGTGCCCCGTCCTCCCTGTGGGCCCAGCGCAGGGCTCTGCCCTCCCTGTCCCCACCCCTGCGCCCCGGACACCCGGCAAAACCCCTGGGGATCACCGGAGCCAGGCGAGGGGCAGCGGGACGGAGACGCTGAGCCCAGGGCTGAGCAGCCCTTGCTGCCTGTACCAACTGGTTTCCGACGCAAGCCGGGAGCGCTGCGCACCCCCAGCAGCGCCTGGAGCTGCAGGTGGGCACCCGCAGGCTCTCCCCCTCGCCGGGGCACACTCGCTCCCTTCCCACGCGTGTGTGTGCCCGTCTCGGCAGCCCGTGCTGGCCCCGGGTGGGAGGGGAAGCAGAGGGCTCAGCTTCCCGCTCCGGAGGGCTTGGCTGCCTTGTTCCCGCGTTCTGCAGTGCATGCTCCCGCTCCCCGGCCCCGCTGCCAGGGGGCCGCGGCAGGTTAACCCCCTTTCTCTCTGCAGAGGCTGTTGTAACACGCATCGGTGGTTTGTGCCTGGCTGTGCTCCTCTCTGCTGGCCTCTGCTGTTGCATTGATGTTGGAGTCCTTTGTGCCTCTCTTCAGTTTGTAATTTTTTGCCTTTCATAACATGTATATTTTTTCCTGTCTCTTTTTTAATTTCCCCTTCCTTTTTTATTTTTTTATTTCGAGGTTTGGTTTTGGTTTTGGTTTTT